GCTAAGTCTAATGATGATATTTGGTGTTAAGTTCGAACTAATCTGACTCGGTAATACTAATATTTGTACAATTACACAGTTAGTCTACATGTAACAGACGAATCAACATTTCAGAAATACTGAGATAACAGTATCAGAGTAGTTCAAACCTAAAAATAACTGTCATCATTGAACTCAGTATAATGAATTACACCTGCATAGCTACTTTTTTTCAGTGATCACAGATCTATCGGCTGAAATTAGAAGTCTCGAAGAAAATAGCTTCAAAATATCGTTTTAAATATCTCTTGAATAGTAAGAACCACAAGTCTCTATAATTTTTTTGTGAAAAGTTGTTCAAATGTTTTCTCCAAGTCCTAGTAAAAGATTAATAAAAAAGTCGAAGAAATTAAATTCGATTCGCAGTTCATTGATTAGCTACATCATATTTTTTTTCTATCAATAATCTATTCGAATATTATTGTTTTTACTTTTACCAATCAAACTTCTAAGCAATTGTATCGTATGCAATGATTTAGTTAATGAATCATTAGACGAAACTTTTTTGTTTCTGCAGTACCGATCAAAAACAAAAGATCAACGTACTTTTGACTTCCTTTCTATGACATCAAGTATTTGACTAAAATTCGAATAGTGGTTTGAATAGCCAATGAATTCAATAACGAAGTTTCATAGGTGAACTATGAGAGGAAGGTATCTGAACAACCAAATATGGCAGTTTTCAAATACTAGAAGGTTATGTAAAAAACTAGTTTTTAGAATAACATCTCAAAGAACACTAAATCTTGAATAAAATAATGAACTGCCACATTACCCTACAAGTTTCTATTAAAAAGTTATAAGCATCACAAAAATTCGATTTTTAGCAGTGCTAGAATAAATTTTGCTGTGTGATACTTATAACGTTTTTTAATGAGAAATTGTAGGAAATGCGGCAGCCGATCATATTTTTTCAGAGTTTTGTGCTCTTTAAGATAACATTCTTAAAAACTAATTTTTATTCAATCTTCATGGATATTTGATAGAGAAATTCATTGGCTATTTAAACTACTATTTGGATTTGAGTGAAATACTTCAAATTGTAGAAAAAAAAAATAGCTCTCACAGAAAATGTTGCAACAGATAAAAATGCATTAATACTAAAGTTTTGCATCGGTATATTATAAAACAAGACTTTAATCAGTAAATATACCCTATTAGGATAGATAAAGTTAAGTTCAAATGTAATATAAAGTATTGGAAAGCCATTCTTGAACGTACCACGAATTTTTTGTAAGAGGTGTACTTCACTCATCGCTCGTTGATATATAGGCAGATTGGTCGAAAGTTATGAGACAAAATGCTTGTTTATTTTCGACTATCTTGAAAGTGTTAGTGAGTAGCCAAAGTTATGGGTTACAACCAGATATTTGTGCTCTTTTTGAATGTAGGCTTAGAAATTTCTTGAGATCAATGAAACGAGTTTTTGAATGGTTCACAAAAATAGTTTCGACGGAAAAAATTCATTATTGCAATTCGAAAGTAAATCTTAACAATTTTTTTCACATATCAGCTTCCAGAGCAGAAGCTACTCTATAATATGTACTATTGAAGTTTTGCTACAGGTCACTTCAGTCTTTCGTTTTTCTTAGATCTTCATTTTTAAAAAATCGATTTTTTGATCAAAAGACGTTTTGGATAGAAAAAAGTTCGTGACAAAGTGTTTACAGTTTCATTTATGTAAACATGACAGTTTAGTTCAATATGAAGTTTTGTAAAGAAGTATTTGGTTGACAGCAATTTTTTGGCACCTTCTAAAATAAATCTAATGAAGTTATCAAAAGTCTATTGAGTTTTGAGTCTTCGAAAGATTGTCTTATTATTCTCGAACAAAACCTGAAATCGAATTTTTAAGCCCGTATTTGAAGAATACACAATATACTAATAGCTTTTGAATCACCGAAAACACTTCCAAGGAATCCAAACATAAACAAATGTTTCGTTTCAATATTTTCGACAGACTTGTTAGTTGTCCATCAATAAAATATACTGTTGATTCCTTCTAAAATCAGAGAAATCTAGCTAAAAGTAATCATATTTGAAATTCACATGACTAAAATAGTGGTTTTTAGTTTCATGTTAAAAACAAAAATAAGATAATGGACTTTATATGACAAACCAAATGATGTCTTAGTTTTTATTGAATAAAGAACGAAAAGGTCTCTGGAAGTAATGTACTTTTTTTAATTCAATCATCAATCGATTCTTCTTTCTTATCAATAATCATTGAAACAAACAAATAGCTCGCATTACTATTCTTTACTATAGTCGATTACGATGTCATCCAACAACAATTTTCAAGTTTATTTAACTGGTGGTTTTGCTGCTATAGGTGGTCTTCTCTTCGGCTATGACACGGGAGTTATCTCAGGTGTTCTTACAATGTCAGATTTTCTTTTGGCATTTGGTGGACCGGCAAGCGTCACACGTGGTTCATTACCAAGTTCTATATCAGGTTCTATTGTGGGTATTATGCTGGTTGGTTGTTTTCTTGGTGCACTTTTAGCAGGTCCATCCGGTGATCGTTTTTCACGAAAATATTCTATTGTGATTTTTGCTGTTGTTTTTATCGTTAGTGCTATTTTACAAACAGGATCATTTAATTTGTTCATGCTACTTCTATCTCGTCTTGTTGCTGGTAAGATATTAAAAAAACTAAAAACACCGAAAAAAACAAATTGTTGATGATTTTATAGGAATATCGGTTGGTGCATTATCAATGCTTGTACCTGTATATCAATCAGAAATAGCTACGAAACAAATTCGTGGACGTCTTGTATCACTTCAACAATGGGCTATAACAATTGGTATTGCAATTAGTTTTTGGATTAATTATGGTAAATAATTTCAAAAAAGAATATTATTTTCGAACTATTTTTTATTTCTTTATTATTTCAGGTACAAATGTATATTTTTTGGGTAGTAGTTCTGCATGGCGTATACCATTAGCATTACAAATTGTACCAGCATTAATTCTTGCTGTAGGTATTCTTCTTTTTCCATTTTCACCACGTTGGTTAATGGCTCAAAGTCGTGATAATGAAGCATTACATGTTTTAATGAGAATTCGTTCAGCTTCATCACTTGATGTACTTGATGAATATAATGATATTAAAAATGAAATTGATTTTGAACGTCAACAATCAATTAAATCTTATTCACAATTTTTTATTCCACCACTTCGTCGTCGTTTAATACTTGGCATAAGTATACAAATTTTACAACAACTTACTGGTATTAATTCTGTTATGTATTATGCACCAGAAATTTTTAAACAAGCTGGTTTAAATGATCAACGTGCATCATTACTTGCAACAGGCATTAATGGATTTGTACTTATACTTGCAACAATACCAGCTATTTTATTTATTGATAAATTAGGTCGACGTTTTATATTAATTAGTGGAGCAATATTTATGGCATTATCAATGCTAATTATAGGTGGAACAATGGGTGTTCATGGTTCGACACATTTTAATGAAACAACAGGTGCTGTTCAAGTTATTATACCAAATCGACAAGCATCTTATGTTATTATAAGTTTTGTTTATATATTTGTTGCAGCATTTTCATTTAGTTGGGGTCCAACAGCATGGGTTTATTGTACAGAAATATTTCCATTAAGTATGCGTTCAAAAGGTACATCAATAACAACAGCTGCTAATTGGGCAACAAATTGTATAGTTTCATTTCTTGTACCAGCACTTCTTGAAGATCTTACATATGGTACTTATCTTATATTTGGCATTTTTTGTATAATTATGGGTATTTTAATATATTTATTTTATCCTGAAACAAAAGGAAAAAGTTTAGAAGATATGGATCTTGTTTTTGGTCAATCTGTATTGGCTGTTAAACGACGTAGAAAAAAAGAAAAATTAAATATTCAAATAAAACATATAGAAAAAAATGAAATTAATAAAATTCAAACATCATCACATAATGGACTTATTCAAATTTATCGTTTTTAATTAAGTTAATGAATAATATAGAATATTTTGCATGCTTTTTATTTTTCTAGTTTTAAATTTATATTAGGTTAGAATGTAATAAGATCATTTGAGATTTCTTTTTTTTTTTTTATTTTTATGTTCTATTGTAACTGTTTGTTTAAAAGATTCATTCTAATTTAACAAAGAAATGATCATCAACAATAATGAAAACGAAATTTGAAATTTAATAGGATAGTATTATCACAAATATTTTACCATGAAGAATAAGATATGTGTTTATTAGAGACTTTGAACATTTCATGAAAATAAACATACTATCAAGATACTGCAATAGGTGAATTTTAGAAGTATATTGCTTTATCTATCATAGGAAAATGAAGAACAGAAAAAAAAGAGATTTAATAGGTGAAAGAGGAAGAGGGTAAACTTAGACAAGCTTCGTCTCGGCAGTCATACAGAGCCAGAACGAAAGTATTTGTACTTGTGCTTCGGAATGAGTACTTTCGAACTTATATTTAAGTACAAAAACTTATACTTCACCCTTTTACTTGCAATATGAAACAATGTCTTTTATGTGAACACTTCACTATTTTCATCAATGAAAGATGTTTCAAATATTAATGTTTATTCGATTAAGTAGTTATAATCGTCTACTAATTAAATACATAAATGAACTTAATAAAAATGTATGACGAGCTTCTGTTTATTTTTGAAAACATAGAACTCTTTTGTATAAAACTTTTGTCATATTTTCCACGTATTGTATGAGGAATGAAAAATCTTTAACTTAAAAACAATTAGTTTTTGAATAAGTCGAATGACTCTATAGGCTTCTATTAAAGCAGATTCTCATCCCAAAAAGTATTAACTTTTTTTTTTTAAATTATTAATGACATATCAAAATAAATTCTAGGCAGGTTTAATTCATATTCAAGCAATTCTTCCAATCAATATTTAAAAAATCCTATCGATGATTCGAAAATATAGCGAATCAATAATCTGTTCTGACTCGTAGAGCATAGATCAGAATTCATGTAGATTCTTCTTAGTATCATCCAGAACTATATTTATCTATGATAATAACTCCAATAAATATCATTATTTATAGATATTTGTCATAATATTGAAGAAACAAGGGACAATAAAAATAGATGATTTTTATAAGCATCCTACAGTAAATTTATTAGTATATGAGAGATAAAAAAAAAGATTCTATTAAAATATTCTTTTTTTAATTGTCCTTTCAATCATATGATGTTATGATAGCCATAAAAAACTTCATCAGAAGTAATCAACTTTGATAATAAAGTTTACTATATTTATACATCAAGTAAACAAGATCAAGTATTTTTTTTCTTACTTAAGTACAAATACATGTATAGGAGCAAATATACCCTGGGGGGGGGGGGGGGAAGTTTAAGTATAAATAAAATACATTTATTTTTTTAGTACTTGTATTACTTCTGCAGTCTTACAAAAAAAAGCAAAACACTCAGGTAAGAACATATTAATATTACGTCGAATACGCTTAGAGAAAGCGTAGTACACTTTAGATAAAGGCAGCTGCTAGAAGAAAAAACATCAAACATAAATAAATCTCTACAAATCGCATAGATGTTCATTGCAGCTGGAAATCTATCGCTATCGCATCATGATGATTTTCGAATAACTCTTCCGTCATTGTGTTAAAGTAACATAGTTAAACTGATTCTAACTGTTGAATTTTTAGAAACTCAAATCAGATGAATATTTATGCAATTTTAAAAATTTCTCTAAAAAAGAAGTTGCTATGATAATATTTTCAAAGCATCTCCTGGACTAACGAGTCGTTATCTACGATCATTTTAGTAACTGTTAGTAAAAGAAAAGAAAATATTTGATACAATAGAGATTTAAAATCCATGTTACGTCTTATCATGTTTCTTGCTTCTATATACGACAAAAAAAGCTTGATCAAATAGGAATGGATTACTAAGATCTTCGATGCTTTCGTATACAGTTTGATGTTATATGTCTGTGTATATAATTTAGCGCTTTTACTTTGAAAGAGTAGGATTTAGGAAATATTATTTTAAGAAGAACATATATAGCTTTTGCTAGATAAAATTAACAATGACCGAAGGATTACGATGAATATAGTTATTTCGTCATTGATAGCATCGTGTCATCTATGTATAATGCAAAATATTTTTCGATTTAACCCTTTCAGCTGTTCTCTTTTAATATTAGATAAGACTGGATAAATATCAGAGACCGAAAACGAACCGAACTGAGTCGAACTAGTTCGGTTCGAGTCGAACCGAACCGAACCCGAACCGACTTTTTGAAAACTCAATCGAACCGAATCGAACCCGAACAGACTTTTTGAAAACTCTACCGAACCGAACCGAACTCGAACCGGACAATCTTGGCTCGGTCTGGATCGGTAGCAGTTCTCAATTTTTATAAGTTGCCTTACATATTCAAAAAAGTACTTTCACGTCTCTCAAACGGGTCACTAGTTAAAGGGTAGTTAAAATAAGCAATTATCTG